ATTGATTCGTACAATTTTTTATCGCTGTTGCTGTCGATACGGCAGGGAATTACAATTATTTGTAGAGGCATGTTAGTGGGTTTGTGTTTAAGTAATTATTAAATGTGCCACCATTTTGTAGTCCAGCGTCCATCTTGACATTTTAGTCTGTCAATTTTACTCTAAAATATGGTATCCACGCATCAATTTAATTACCTCAAGTATTAATTTTTTGAATTGATCCGTTCAAAAATCAACGGGAAGGGGGACATTAAAGAAAAGCACTGTATATATATATATATATATACTTTGAAGTTGAGTCATTAATTTTCAGATAATGATTGTAGAAGGAAGATAAACCAAAATATGTGTGTAAAAATAAAAAAAATAAAAAAAAATTTACCTTGTTTAATAAAGTATCCTCCCGACAAGTACTTCAGTGCGGACCTGTATTTGATCGTGCGGTCTTGGAGCACCGGCATGCTCTCACCTGTGAGGTCTTAAGTCACCTGATTCACGAGCCCTTTGTACTTCATTAACAAAGGCACGAGGGGTTGGTTGCACTCGATTGGGAAACCAATTCGCTTAAATCCGTGATGCATCCGGCAGCATTTTGTAAAGACTGCCCCCCGTAAATAAGAATCATGTCCACAAGTTCAGCATTTTCGTAAACATGTGCCATTTTCATTTCGTTTGAGTCACGCAACAAACATTACTATTCACCCACGCGTTACCGACTGACGAAAAACAACGTGATAAACGTTTCAAATTCTTTCGCTTTTTTGTTTCCGATGCGATGAACCGATATCCGTTGTTGCCAAACACATAATATTATTATTGAGACAGGGCGGTACTCAAACCTCTAAAGGGCTATAACTTTGTTACTTTAATTTTACCAGAAAAATGTTAAAGGAAAAAAACATTTCTTTTGATCAGATCTACTCACTGTTAAAATAAATGACTCAACTTCGAAGTCACCCTGTATATATAGAGTGAAGCGTATCTGGAGGTTAGAAACTACATTCCGATTTTGTCCCCAAAATTGCTTCTCGTTAATTTTGGGTGCATTGATTTATAGTGTTAACACATAGTGATGTTATTCCGTCGTTATTAATAAGCTCAATGTGTCCGTCCGATTGGTTTTATATTTGTAACAAATGTTCTCATCTCCGCGTTCGTTTTGAAACACCATTTGGCTGCAACCTCAACGACGAGTAAGTTGTTTGACAGTTTAAGTCGTTCCTGTGTTGGTTGCTAGCATCATAATTGTATTCTCAGATCCTGATGAAGGCTCCATCGAGACCTGCCGAAAGCTATCGTCAAAGGAGTTGACTAAAGCCTAAAAAAAGTTTGCCAATTTCCCAATTAACAATTACTTCTATATTTTTCCCAACTGGTCGTTGGCAATGGCAATGACTACTGCTCATATATATATATATATATATACAATCAACTGTTAATTGGGAAATTGGCAAAACATTTTTAGGCTTTAGTAAACTCTTTTAACGGTAATCTCGAGCTTTGGGCTTCTCTATGGAGCCATCGGCGGGAGCTGAAAATACAAATATGAAGGTAGCAACCAATACGGGAAGGACTTAAATTATCAGACAACTTACTCGTCGCTGAGGTTGCAGCCAAATGGTGTTTCAAAACGAAAGCGTGGATGGGAGCACTTGTTACAGATATAAAACCAATAGGACGGACACATTGGGTTTACTGATAACGACGGAAACCATCGATAGGTGTTAACACTATATCAATACACCCGAACACATTACAAATTATCGAAAAGCAATTCTGCGGGAAAAAACCGGCAGAGTCCCTTCTAACCTCCTACATCTGTTTCACGTGGAGAAAATGAGCGTAGCGGAAGAGTGATGCATCGACAGATGACAGGTGATTGTCGCGAAGGAATATGGAAAGGTAAAAATCATTGTCAAACTTCGGGTATAGTGTATACGAGGGACGCTCGGTTAAAACTCATTCTTTTTCACAAAATGCTGGATTAAATTTGTTCTGGAAAAAGTGTGATTCATATGAGTGTATGAGTGTGAGATTGTGTTTTAATTTTGGGAGGACGTTAGATCAACTGGAATATGTAGACGTTCTAACTTTTCGCAATTCAGCAAGTAAGAATAAATGACACTACGCTGCTTAGCATCAGCCTTTTTATTAATACAATGATCTGTCATGAAAATGTGGGACATTTCTAAAAATAGACGTTTTGAGAGTTGTTGTTCCTTGTCAAGAACCTTAATACTGCCATAACTCACAGAATGACCTGTGGTGCTGACATGTGATGCCAAAGCACATCTCTCTGGATGTAATCTGGCGTCACTTTTGTTTGATGTTATCCTGCCTTTCAGTGATCTCGATGTTTGACCTATGTAAACTAAATTACAGTTATTATAATTACTGCGGTAGACAGTGTTGGTTGAATCAAGCAAATGAACCATATCCTTCATTTTGGAAAACACACTGTTCACTGTGAGAACTGATTTACTCAAACAAGCAAATCGACAATTTAAGGAATTATACAGCCTGATCAAGTTTGTAGTTAATACTTTGATGTATGGCAAGACAACATAATTAACTTTGGAAATAGAAGCATCAGCCGTAATGCTGCCATTCTCATTAGTTGAAGAATTAATGGGAGTCGGGATGGACAAGACAGTGTTGTCATTGTCAATATTGTTATTCGCAATTGACAAAATATTAAGAGGAGAGCTGAACAGGATTCTGTCAACCAAATACTTCGGTTATTCATTATTGATGAATAAGACTGAAAGCTTCCTTAAATTGGAAAGATGGAAAGTATTGTCAGAGATTTTTATTACCCTGTTCTTCATTTGTTTCAGCAAGTTTATTTTTATTTTAAGTTCGTGGTAAGACCTGAAGTTCAGGAACCTTCCAGAAGAAATTGGTTTCCTGTACCAGTCTACCGGATGAAGGGGTGGATGGTATTGTTGAAGTTTTTAGCAGCTATGATCCCTACATTCAGTTCACCATCGAAAAAGAAGATGATAATTAATCAGTTCCGTTTTTGGACTCAAGATTGATTCGTACCAACGATAATATATTACTGGTAGACTGGTATAGGAAACCAATTTCATCTGGAAGGTTCCTGAACTTCAGGTCTTACCACGAATTTGAAATAAAGATAAACCTGGTGGAACAAATGAAGAACAGGGTAATAAAAATCTCTGACAATACTTTTCATCTTTCCAATTTAAGGAAGCTTTCAGTCTTTTTCGTCAATAATGGTTATCCGAAATATTTGGTTAACAGAATCCTGCTCAGCCCTCTTCGTAATATTTTGACAATTGCGAATAACAATATTGACAATGACAACACTGTCCTGTTCAACCCGACGCTCATTAATTCTTCAACTAATGAGAATGACAGGACTACGGTTGATGCATCTATTTCTAGAGTTAATTATGTTGTCTTGCCATACATCAAAGAATTAACTCCAAACTTGGTCAGGGTGTATAATTCCTCAAATTGTCGTTTTGCTTGTAAATCTGTTCTCACAGTCAACAGTGTGTTTTCCAAAATGAAGAATAGGGTTCAGTTGCTTGATTCAACCAACACTGTCTATCGCATTAATTGTAACAACTGTAGTTTAGTTTACATTGGCCAAATATCGAGATCACTGAAAGGCAGGATAACCTCAAACAAAAGTGACGCCCGATTACATCAAGAGAGATCTACTTTGGCATCGCATGTCAACACCACAGGCAGAGTTATGGCAGTATTAAGGTTCTTGACAAGGAATAACTACTCTCAAAACGTCTATTTTCAGAAATGTCCCACATTTTCATGACAGATCATTGCATGAATAAAAAGGCTGATGTTAAGCAGCTTAGTGTCATTAATTCTTACTTGTTGAATTGCGAAAAGTTAGAACGTCTACATATTCCAGTTGATCTAGCGTCCTCCCAAAATTAAAACACAATTCCAATAAATTATTTATCCTGTTCATTGCAACATTGCCCTCACGGTAATAATAAATTTTAATATATTTTCATACAACCCATCTTTTCAAGCGTGTATCTCCATTTTACACTCGTACACTCATAAGAATTACACTTTTTCCAGAACAAATTTAATCCAGCATTTTGGAAAATAGGATCAGTTTTTACCGAGCGTCCCTCGTATACACTATACCGGAAGTTGGGCAATGATTTCCACATTCCTTCGCGACAATCACCTATGATCCGTCGACGCATCACTCTTCCGGTTCGCTCATTTTCTCTACGTGAAACAGATGTAGGAGGTTGGAAGGGACTCTGCCGGTTTTTTCCCGCAGAATTGATTTTCGATAATTTTTAATATGTTCGGGTCTATTGATATATAGTGTTAACACCTAACGATGGTTTCCATCATTATCAATAAACCCAATGTGTCCGTCCTTTTGGTTTTATATTTATAACAGGTGCTCTCATCCACGCTTTCGTTTTGAAACACCATTTGGCTGCAACCTCAGCGACGAGTAAGTTGTCTGATAATTTAAACCCTTCCCGTATTGTTTGCTAGCTTCATATTTGTGTTTTCAGCTCCTGAAGATGGCTCCATAGAGAAGCCGAAAGCTCGAGATTACCGTTAAAAGAGTTTACTAAAGCCTAAAAATTTTTTGCCAATTTCCCAATTAACAGTTGATTGTATATGTATATATATATATACATGCACAGCTAACCTTCTCGCCTCCACATACGAAACAGGCACCCTGGCCTCCGGCTGAAATACTACATATCTCAGTGTATATTGGTTACAGAAAGATTCCCGTCCATTGTTTTTCTCATTTCCCCCTGAGAGGGGTAAAAATATGTCTTTTTTAAATTATACAGATTTTCGCTATACTTTTAAATGTAAGATGCCTCCGACCACTTATTTGCTAATATACCTCCGTTTGTATATAGTTTGCTATGTTGGTTGACTAATCAGCCTCCCGCGGCGTTGCCGGTTCTTTAATAGTAAAAATTGCTGACCTTGAGCTATTTTTAGAATCCTGAAAATATTATTTGACAATGCTTAAATAGTTTCAGATCTTCGGTGTCGTGTTAGTCTAGTTAACGTGCTCAGAGTGTGTGTGTGTGTGTATTGGCTTTTGTTTCGGTCTCCAGTTCCACAATACAAAAATGAATATGTAAGTGATAATGATTTTAGTTTAAGAAATAATATAATAATTCTGCATTTTATTATAGCCCAACATACAGAGCTAGAAAAATTCTAAACAGCTTAGATAATACAAGGAAAAAAGAGGATAAAGGTGATTATTTATTCCATGTCTATTGAATTAGGTGATCAAATTGAATACTAACTTAATTTATTGATTTATGAAAAATTCAAAAAAAAATCACATTTTTAATGTATTATTTAGTTAATTCAAACAATAGTCTGGAGTCGTTTAATGGAAATATATTTGTTAGGTTATGGTTTTGAATAATTTTATTTTCGATTTAATGATTTTCCAGAAGATGAATATGAATATGAAAGTAGTCCCGCTCCATCGATTTCTGGTGATATGTCGTTCCTCGATTTCGATTCCGATGACTCGATGAAGGATCCCACATTTAAACCAGAAGTTAAAGATAAGCAAACGACATTTTTCGATCTTCAAAAAACTGAGGTTTGACTTTTTTCTACTTCATTATAACTCTTGAAGATAATTCAGTTTTTTAACTAGTGTATTCATAAACATATTCTAGGATGTATTGACAATAGAGAAAAATAATGAAAAAGAGTTAGAAAAAAAGGAAGTTAAAAAGAAAGAAGAACAAAATAACGCTGCAGTGGAAGAAATTATGAGATCGGATATCGTTTCCACTGTAAGTAGCAGAAATTTTTATTTCATTTTTCCAATTAAAATACAGATAGAAGTATATTTACAGTGCGTTCCATTTAAAAGGAGCCTCCCGATATATCTGCATTAAAAATGAATTTCCGAAAAAAATCGGCGGGGAAGTATTGTAATCGCGAACAAAATCGAAATTGAGATGTTATGTTTTTTGGAGGTCACATGACATGTACATCACGAAAAACCATGTCACTCATTTCCGTCAGTCTGTCTGTCTGTCGCTCTGTCTGTCTGTCGCTCTGTCTGTCTGTCTGTCTGTCTGTCTGTCTGCTAATCCTATAAGCCCGTATAAGTTGGAAAGTACCAGTCGGATTTTGAAGAAATTTTTACACAAGGTTACTATTATGCCAAGGACGTAAAAGCTTTATAATTTTTGAAATCGATCCAGTGGCGGCGGTGCTGGAGGTAAAAAACGAAAAAAATAAATAAAAAAAGCTCAAATCTCGTTTCTGGACGTTTCAGACGTCCCTGATCATTTTTGAATTTTTTTTGTAGGGGTTGAAAATTGGGGGTTGGGGCAGTAGGGGGGCGGGGGCGGGTATGATTCAATTTTTTGACGCTTTTATTTTAAAGGTATCCTAACACAGTAATTCACCGCTACAATTAGGATATATTTCGCAATGAGATTTCTCCGTACATTTGTTCGAAAAAATGGCGTCAAGTAAATTGATTTGGCACTTCCCTCGCAACGCCAAGATTAAAGACCTTGGAAATTTAGGAACTGAAATATTGTCTTTCTAACAAATGTACGGAGAAATCTAAGTGTGGAATATATACAAATAGCTGCGTTGAATTACTGCTTTAGGATACGTACTAACGTCAAAAAACTGAATAAAACCCTCCCCCCACCTTCTACCGCCTTCTACCACCCCCAACCCCCAATTTTAGACCCCTACAAAAAAATATCAAAATCAGGAGCCTCTGAAACGTCCAAAAACGAAGTTTGAGCGATTTTGATTTTTTTACGTTTTTTGCCTCTAGCACCGCCGCCACTGGATAACTTTTCAAAAACTATAAATGTTTTTTGTCCTTGACATAATAGTAACCTTGTGTCTTGTAATAATTTCAAAATTTAAACAGAAAATATGGATTTTTTTTTTAGAATCTGAAAATATCTGAAATTTTTTGAATAAATGTACGGAGAAATCTGATTGCGAAATAAATCCTAATTGTAGCAGTGAATTACTGTGTTAGGATACGTATAAAAATAATAGCGTCCAAAAATTGAATCATATCCGCCCCCGCCCCCTGCTGCCCCCAACTCCCAATTTTCAACCCCTACAAAAAAATTCCAAAAATGATCAGGGACGTCTGAAACGTCCAGAAACGAAATTTGAGCTTTTTTATTTTTTTTTTTCGTTTTTTACCTCTAGCACCGCCGCCACTGGATCGATTTTCAAAAAGTATAAAGCTTTTACGTCCTTGGCATAATAGTAACCTTGTGTAAAAATTTCATCAAAATCCGACTGGTACTTTCCAACTTATACGGGCTTATAGGATTAGCGGACAGACAGACAGACAGACTGACGGAAACGAGTGACATGGTTTTTCGTGATGTACATGTCATGTGATATCCAAAAAACATAACATCTCAATTTCGATTTTTTTCGCGATTACAATACTTTCCCGCCAGTTGGCGAGGGAAGTAAAACAGAATAATTTCAGATATATTCAGATTCTAAAAAAAAAAATCCAAATTTTCTGTTTAAATTTCCAAATTATTACAAGACACAAGGTTACTATTATGTCAAGGACGGAAAACCTTTATAGTTTTTGAATAGTTATCCAGTGGCGGCGGTGCTAGAAGCAAAAAACAAAAAAAATTAAAATCGCTCAAACTTCGTTTTTGGACGTTTCAGAGGTTCCTGATTTTTAAAATTTTTTGTAGGGGTCAAAAATTGGGGGTTGGGGGTGGCAGAAGGCGGTAGAGGGTGGGGGGAGGGTTTTGTTCAGTTTTTTGACGTTAGTACGTATCCTAAAGCAGTAATTCAATGCTTAGATTTCTCCGTACATTTTGTTGGAAAGACAATATTTCAGTTCTTAAATTTCCAAAGTCTTTAAACTTGGCGGTGCGAGGGAAGTGCCAAGTCAATTTACTTGACGCCATTTTTTAGACAAGTGAAACGTTTCGTATTTTTTCTTTTTGGTAATAAACAGATTCTCTAAAAATGATTTTACCCTTTTATGATGCAAATTTTCAGTTAAATACTGTATATCTGTATTTGATGGAAACTTACTAATATTTTTTTCAGGATGAACAGCTAAATGAAAAGTCCCCTAAAATTGTTATCCTGAGTAACATTGATGTGTCCAATTTCAATCAAATATCGGAGACTCAAACTAAAGTAAGTTCAACCATAAAAACTTCACTTGGAAATAATCATATACAAAATATTACTGCGGATATTTTATTAACTTGATAATCAAATCTTTAATTCTAGAGTAAAATATTTTGCTAGACGTTTTCTTACTTTGTGGGAATATAATATTTATAAGCTTTGAAATTCTAGACTAATATTTTTAACTTTACCTTGAGTCACCTATTATTCCTAAAGGCATGATTAAATTATTTTGTCAGTCTCAAATTAGCACCATTGTATCGTTGTTTCTAGTAAATAACTGCTGGTCATCAAAAATCTTTGACAAGATTCTCACTGTCAGAAAATATAAAAAATTTATCAGTCATAAAATATTGTAGCTAAAAAAGCCAGGCCAGCTCATTTTTTAAATCAAGATATCACCGAAAATGCCAAGCCTCTCCCTCAAACTTGTATTGTTTCATTATCAATTTCTATCAGCATTTTTGCAGAAATTTAAAAAAATCAATTTTTTTTTACATTTTTCAGACAACAACGAAAAAAAAGAGAACAAAGTGTAAGTTTTGTCAGACAGATGTAACAAATTTTGAGAGGCATCTTGAGCGGAACCACGATGATACTAAAGAGGTACAAGATATGATGTCTTTTCCAAAAAGCCATCCTGAAAGGAAAAAAATTCTAAGTTTGTTGAGAAATGCAGCAAATTTTACAGAGTATCTTAAAGGCAATGTACAGCCTAAGTATCATTATAAGACAGAATCTAAAGAATATTACCCATGTTCACGCTGCAAAGCAATGCTGTCTAAATCGTATTTGTCACGTCATAAAAAAAACTGCATACTGAAACACACGAATAATAATGAAATTCGTAAGATGAATTCACTAGCAGCATCACAAACATTAATAGCTAGTTCTTTTGATGATAATAGTAACTTGCACAAACTGAGAGTAAAAGAGGAAGTCTTTGACCGAATGAAACCTGATTATATCTCCTTGGTTGCGAAATCCGACTACCTAATTTATAACTTTGGAGAAAACTATCTCAAAAAACACAGAAGAGAACAACTCGTTACAGTTTGTTCCAATAAAATGAGAGAATTGGCACGGTTTCTGATACAATTCAGAAAAATGACAAATAACTCAAAATTCAGGCTACAAGACGTTTTTAAACCAAAATTGTTTGATATGACAGTCGAATGCGCAAAACATGTAGGGGGATATGAAAAATATTCTAAGACATATCGTGCACCTAGCCTACCTGCACATCTGGGAACTTCATTATAACAAGTTTGTGAACTTTTCACAAGACTGGTCCTGAAAGAGGATGAAGCTTTAAGAATCTCTGATAAAGAAGAGGCATTAAGAGATATAAACAGATTTCGAGAACTCATAAATACACAGTGGACCACGGAAATCAGTAGCTTAGCATTTAAAGACCTTAATGAAAAACAATGGGAGAAACCAGCAATGTTACCTTTAACTCGGGACATAACGAAATTCAAAGACTACGTTACCAATGTGGCAAATAAAGCAATGACCTGTCTAACACTCAATCCAACTGATAGGAAAGAAATGAAAAAGTTGATTCAGGCTTCTCTTATTTTAACGATATTATTTAACAGAAAAAGAATAGGCGACGTTCAATACACAAAATTAAGTACATACATCAACTACTGGAAACCGGTTAACCAAGAGGAGTGTGAAAAAGCATTGTCTCAGTCAGAAAAAATACTAACAAAATATTATAAACGCATTGTGACAGGTGGAAAAGGTAGTAGACCCATAGCTATTCTATTCCCTCAAACATTACAAACCTATATAGATTTCTTTGTTAAAATCCGCCAAGAACATCACTTAGTACCCGAAAATAATCCATATTTATTTGGGTGTCCTGGAACTTCGAAGTGGACAAGAGGGGATGTTATTATACGGAAATTTGCCCAAGAAGCTGATCTAGAATTTCCCAAACAAATATCTTCTAACAGATTACGGAAGCAAATTGCAACGGTAATGCAAATTCTTAACCTTAGTAAGGAAGAGAGTGAACAATTCGCCCACTTCATGGGACATACTGAAAAAACCCACAATGAATTTTATAAGTAAGTTCTCCCTACAATAAATTACGGCATACATTCATTTGAAATTCAAGTTTTCGTTATTGTAAAAATGCCCTGAAGAAATATTACGCAGTTACTTTTATTTTAGAGTAAAAGGATGTCAGTAGAAATGTGTTCAAATAGGGACCCTATTTTTGATTAGCATCTGAAATTCTAAGTTACATTCCCGATTTTCAAATGATTTTGAGAAAATGGTGTCGAATTATTCACAATTTTTAACTTTGTGATCTTGTGGCGTTTAAAAAGATCAAGTCAAAGTACTTCCACTTTTTTCTTAACATCCAACAATACTTATTCTGAATTTCACCTGGTGGTCAGCTTTTTCCTACTATTTATGACTAATGGTATCGGATAGGTAATGGATCTTGCTATAAGAAAGTGGCAACCATTTTGATCTAACTTGATTAGTCTAAATATATCAATGCGTTAAAGTATCAAATTCAGACGCCCATTTCTCGATAACAATTGAAGATCGGCATAGGATTCACTTTGAATTGAAAAAACCGACAATGAAAAAAATTTTATTTGATGTCATGATTTTTATCTCAGATGTAACAAACTTTACTTATGCTTAATAAATTGACGTTTCCTTTTTCCTGGATCAAGACCAATATGAATTTCAAATGAATATATACAGGATGTCGCTAAATTAGTATTTAAAAGTTTACCTACAAATAAATCAGAAAATATGTAGTTGAAAAATTTCCTCTGGACCAATTTTAAAAGTAATACATTGAGAAATGTTTATAAAATTCAAAAAAATTCGAATTTCAATTTTCAACTTTACCATTCTCTATCTTGGAAACTAAACATTTCCGGGTCCATTGTTCATAGGAGATGTTTTAACTATTTTTTGAAGTTCGATTTGTGTTTGAAATTTTGAGTAACAATTTAGTGACACTCTGCATATTTTTCACTCTTTAAGTACTTTGTTTTCTAGGCTGCCACAAGATGTGTACCAAACCGCAAAAATTTCCAAACTCCTAATGTTAATGGAAAAGGGCGTTGACAAGTATAAAGGAAAGTCGCTAAATGAAATTAATATTAATCCAATGAGTGAATTTGCTGAAGAAGAATCAGATAATGAAGATAACGATTTCCTAGATGCAAATGAATCTGACTGTACGGCATTTCAAGGTAATCAGTGAAAAGTCAAAAAGTGATCAGTAAATATGGCTGTTTCTGCAAAGCTTAAATGTATGCGGCAAAACGTATCAATTGATAAAAATAAAATTACAGCTATTTTAGTAATTTAATTCTCTTTCCGCGTAGATCTTATAAAAATATTTATTATCGATAGTATGAAATTATTAATAAGTATTTCTATTAATAATAATAATAATAATAATAATAATAATAATAATAATAATAATAATAATAATAATAACAGGACTTTATTTGTAATTATATTACAAATCGGCGAAGTTTAGCCATATATTGCTATTCTACTTAACCTTAACAAAAATACTATATTCATGCCCCTTTTGGCCAAAGCAATTTCTGATCGTTCTACTGAAGAAAAGCAATGCAAGTTTATATACCCTTTGACTCATTTAGTCAGTGTATTTAAACGTCCTTGATGTAAATCGTACGTATAACTTTTAATAGTAATATTGAATATCAATTTATTAAACGCAGAGCCATTCTCAAGCTGTTGAAAACTTTCAGAATAAAAAAACATGTTTTTTTAATATCGCATATCAAGTACCAATTAGTACATGGATAGGAAAGAAAAAATGTTTCAAGAGTTTAGTACAACGAACATTCACTCTAGAAACGACACTAATTACCTCTTATTAGATTTTTTGCTTTTAAAATACAATTCGATTCAAACACTAAATGACCATCCCTCCCATCTATTAGAATAACAGAATGTTGATATTTATTAATAACTTACTTTAAGCAATCCCGGAAGAAGAAAGTCGACCAGTATCGAAGAAGAAAATATCAGGGAGGACATTCTGGACTTCTGAACAGGCTCTTCTAGTGAAAAAACATTTCAAGTCCCACATTAGCACAAAAAAGGCCCCCAAAAAGAATGAATGCATGCAGTTAATAGGAAAGTATCCCGAGATATTCCATGACAAAGACTGGGTTCGCGTGAAAACTTTTGTCTATAATATCTATAGAAATAAGTGAAGCTTTGTTCAGTCAGTAGTATATATTTTTTTGAGCTTTGGTGAAATTTGAAAAATTCACAAATGTGAAATAAATTTGGAATTTGTATTAGACAGTTGAAAATTCGGATGTAAATAAAGAATTGAAAGACAAACAACTTTTTCCTTTAGCATTTCCCGAAATTTTGAGAAGAGAGTTGGGTTTTTGAGATTTGAACAAAGAATCCTCAATTTTGACTATGAAGAATGGTCACGTAATTGCTCATATGCATGTTATTTGGCATCATTTAGCAAAAACTAACCGCGAAATCAAATTCTTTCTAAATAGTTTAAGAAAAAAAAAATCCCATATGATTCTAACTTTATGTGTGACACTGTATCCGGCAATATAAAAATATTTGTTTTTCAAAGGTATCTTATACAGATCACTGGTTGCTCTGAGTTGTGTTTTAAGGATATGTAGAAAAATCTGTGAGCTGATATAAAAAAAGCTTCTATAAATGCAAGAGTACAAAGCGTCGAAGATTTTTATTATTATTTTGTCATTTTTTCACTGAATATACAGAAGCCATTCAATCTACTACAACAAATTCTGGTCCACTAAATTTTTCAAAATGTTGTCAAAGTTGTGTGTAAACTAGATAAATAGTTGAACTAAACAGTACATTTTTCTTGAAGACGTGCTTTTTCATCCACAGAGTTTGTGAATTTTAGAAGTAAATCTGACTACAAAAATTTAAGTTGTGTTGGAAATTTCTTTCAAACTACCAGTTCTTTGCGACGTCATTACATTTAAAAATAAAGAAATTCTTATTCAGAATTACATCATCTTGTATAATAAAGATTCGTTTTGAGATAATGTTCATTATGTCATCCAGTGTTTTATGTCACATTCTGACATCTATCTTATTTATAATTTTCAGACACTCGAAAAACTATTCTTTCCTTGCTAATTTTTTAGTTTGTGCAATTGTTTTTAAAACCTATAGGTTTTATGTTGTGAGGTACTGATCAAAAGATATTTGAGATATAAGCAATTGTATCGGTATTTATAAAATTCGGAACCAAAACCGTGAAGTTCTAGTTACCTGGATTTTGGAAAAAGCACAATTTCATTTCACCATTAAACAGAATAAATCAATTTATTTCAAAATGTTTCTTTAATAATGCAGAAACTTTGTTTAAAATATTAGGAAACTGTGCTTTCTCAAAATATTTTATTTTTGTTTATTTAAAAATAAATAAAATTTTTGTTTAGTTGTGCTTTTTTAATAATCCAAGTTAACAGAATTTCCACGATTCCGTTCTTATTTTCGTCTGATTATATTTGATAATATATGACAGTAAATGTTTCACATTCCCCTTGCTACTTTTTCTGCTGTACAAGCTGATGTTATTAGATTGTCAATCTGACGTTTCGTTTCACGGCAACCTTTTAATTCAAAATCCAACTACATATCGCTCTTTACATTTATTCGATATTTCGGATGAGAAAAACCATCATCAACGTCATTTGATTATAATTACGAATGAACGAATCGTCGGATCAAAAATCTAATTAAGTCATCATGTAGAGGGAAAAAGTCATGCGAATGTGAATTTTACTTTTATTTATCTTCTTTATTAGAATTTAAAAAAATCTATCACAAACTGCGAATTCTTGAACTGTCAAAACTAAATTTTCGCTTTCTTATACATATGAGACACCGAATATACATGAGTATATATAAACCGTCCAATTCAACTCCATGCCATTAGATCATCCAATTCGCCTCCATGTAATGTTGCCAAATTTCGGAGGCGCATTGACTGAAGAATGCATGGAGGTAAAGTGGTAAAGCCCACAATATGTCGTGTATAAGTGTATAAGACTTGAGTGCCATCTATTAAAAAATTCCTGAACTGAATTGTATAACTGTATATGTGCACATGACGAATTGGCCTCCACCGAAAAATTTGGGAAAATGTGTTTTGATACGTCACACGACGATTAAACATGTTATACACGTCGATACGTTTTGGCCTCCGAATTTTCCAATTCGCCTCCGATTTTGGAGGCGTATTCGTATAGAGCATAGTGCATTTCGGAGGTGTATAAGACAAAATGCATATATATATATAATTATATAGGTGTGTGTGTGTGTGTGTGTGTAAAAAATTAGCATTATATCGCGTTTATGGCTAGTTCGTCTCTAACAAACTAAATGAGTTAATAGTTTCCATTAGATTATATCGTAATTTCCAACACAGCGTAACTCAGAACTGACAAATGTTTAAAAGAGCAAAAAAAAAACGGTGGAGCCTTGGATTTCCTATCAAATGACATGCATATCTTGATGGCGCGATTTTTGAGTTACGCGATGTTAAAACCTATTTCCCACGACGTCTCCCTCAGAGGCCTGTTTCTTCGGAATCAAGAGATGTTTCGCAAGTCAAAAAGGTCAAATACGATAGTTTCAGAATAGTCCCATGTTTGGGAAACACCCTGTACATGACTAAACTGAGACAATACCATCATGCTAGGTTTCAAATGAGAAGAGTCAAAAGTATGGAGTACTACATATGTTTTATGATTATGTTTAACTTTTACGATTAGATACCTAACTATGATGCTTACTACTTACCATCTCATTTCAATCAAATGAAACTGCTTTTCTCTAAATTTGACCGTCAAAAAGTATTTTTGTCGAATTCTAACCGCGTGAAAGGCGCATGTGAAAATCTTATATTCCTGGCCGAGTGTCTGAATTTTCAACTACCTTAATCACAGAATACATGGACATGCAGCGCTCATGAACATCATCACCACCTCCTCTTGGATCCGCGCTTGCCCTTACACATAAATTCGCAATTTGCATCTGTGCGCGGATGTTTGTTTGTGTAAGCTCTGAGATTTCAAAATCTGCCCTGGCCAGAATCTGGCGCTGGAATTTTATCAAAATCCATAAAGTATTACTGGATAGGCAACAGATCGATAGAAATCGGTTACACTGTTACACAGTTTTTTTTTATTTTTATTCATACACCTATAACTTCCAAAAAAACATTATGTTGATTTAGAATTGTCTTGCAACTGCAATATTTCCTCGCTATTTAGCGTGATAACTAAAAACTCATCAATTATATGAACGAGTCAACCATTGAAGAGCAAAGTTCGCAGATTTTTGTATTGCTTCTATTTTTTTTTCTAATAATTCTACCTCCACTTTATTGCGTTTGAAACAGGATTGCTTACTGTGATCTCACAGCATACCGTTCCCCAAATATTATCAAGATCCGTAAGTAGGTGAAAATCTGGCGACCGCCACCTACCAATGCCTTGTCGTTACCGAGATCCCATGCTGAGAGTCGAATTTGAAACACCCGGCATGCATAGAAAACCATTGCTGGTTTGCTCTATGAATACTTAGCATTTCGATCACTTGATAGTCGAGCGTGATACTGGTGCAGTGTGACTAAAATTCGGAAATTTTTACGCCTATAATTATCCTCGTACCAACGCGTACTACATTTAAAAATGGCGTCAAGCAGGTTCCTACGGAACGCAGTCATCAGTTCATAAAGGATTAAGCTCAGCGTAATTTAAATCCTCTGAGAAAAAAGTCAGTTACGAATATCTAGAACAGAAGCATTAAACGTATTAAGTCAGTCAAACAGATACGTAGAACTAGTCCATAAACATGCTTTCCCTGCACTACCAGTAGTTACTGTCCATCTGGCAACGTTGTCCCTTCTCACATCTGCGCGACAAGACCCACTGCGGCACCACTGTAGCGAATTATCGTTCATTAGTGTGCGGATTGAAAACATTTCTCTATAATTTTTAAAAGCTAATGCACGGGGAAATCTATGATATGTTAAATATGGCTAATTATCAGGGTTGGGGGCGTAGTTATAAATCAGGGTACAAATATACATCAAATTTCATACAACAGTTTTTCTAAAAATAATCAGGCGCCTATGGAACGTCAAAAAAATAAGCGTGATCGATGCTATTCTTTCATCTTTTTCAGAAACTACAAAGACTGGCACAGTAGTGACTTTGTGTGAGAATTTTATCCAAATTTGAGCCGTACTTTCCAAGGATGAGTGGACAGACAGACTGACGGAAATGAGTGATATGGATTTTCGTGATGTACATGTCATATAACATCCAAAAACATAACAACCCATTTTCGAAATGTTTCGCGATTACAATACGTCCTCGCCCTTTGGTGCAGAAACTGAAAACTGCAGAGGCAGTTAATATTATAAGTATAAAGAATAATGGTGAAAATTAACAACTATGCATTCATGTGTTTAGTTAGATACCTATGCTTAATTTCTTAATAAAAATCTACTGATACTTTATCATTGTTTTAAATATTACCATAATTTCATAACAGTCTTTTTTTTCATTAAGTCAATGTAAGTCGGCCTCGATAACATGATACTAACTTTGTATAATGTAAATGTAAATTAATTTGGATAATGGTTTGATTTAGACTAGAAAAAGCATGAAAAATTGCACAATAAGGTAACAATGAAATAACGAGGCTTGAGTATAGTTTGTCTATTTATGCATATAAATATTATACATACACAAGTTTCTAGAGTTTTTGTTAAGTGAAATTAATTTTTGGAAGTCTGACCAGGAGCCACATTTTTAAAGCTTGATTAAACGGTTAACTTAAAATAGATGCAAGCGATTAAAAGAAAAAAGCCAGTGTTGATCGAATGAGAATTTCAAGGAAAATAATATCTTATGAAAACGTTGAAATTTGGTGTACGAAGATTCATTTGTCAATAACAATTATTTATATATTTAGGGCGCAAACTGGGGGTTTATGAACTGCGACATGAAATTGGAGCCCAAAGTATGATGTGCTGCGGGAACTAACATACCTGAGAATTACAAAAAATAGAAATTATAAAATGGGGAGGAAAAAATCACCATACTATGTCAGCGAATGCCGACAGTTACAGCAGTTTACCTAGCAATAACAAAAAATTGGACAGTTTTCGTAATCGATGAGTATAAGT